TCTATTGAAGTATGGAGGCTTGTCCGTTGGTAAGGAGTCTTCCATGTGGAACGAGCCGAAGGTGGAAGCCATCTTCTCAGTTGTGTCGGGAATTGGTAGAGATTTTTCGAAGATCGTCTCAAGGTGGTTAAACCTTCTTAACGAGTTAGGCTCTGATGCCAATTGTTAGGATTTTCAGAAGTAACGATTTTGTGTTTAGGGAGTAAGGAGATTGAAAGATAGAGAATTGCACATCGATTTATAGTGGTTCGACTTTCTCAACCAAAGTCTACGTCCACTACCTTAGCTCCTCACCAAGGATTTTCCAACAAATTCACTAATTTGTTATTTCTTTTGAGGACAAAGAGATAATCTTACAACTCTCTAGTTTTTCCGGGATAAACTAGAACCTTTCCCTAGCTTTTACACAGGATAAGCTAAAACCTTTCCCCTTTACAAAAGGGTAAAATAAGTAAACAAGAAAAACCTCTCTAAGGTAGGTGTTTACAAGATTGAGCTCACAAGAACAAAATATTTACAAGAGATAGATGAAATAAGATTGAAAAACTCTTCTCTTATGTTTGATTGCTTGGATAGTTGTTCTCTTTCTTCTTCAAGTGTCCTTAGGTTGTATTTATATCTTGGAATGTGTTTGAAGTCGTATATAGCCGTTGGGGATGTTTTGGAGCCGTTTGGAGATGATTTTTCTACTAAAATAGGCTGCCCATAACATGGTGCATTGGTGCACTATCATGGTGCATCGATACCCCTTCATTAAATTCAAATAAACTAGCCGTTACTAGCCGTTGCAGCCTTCATGCATGGATGCACAGCAGGATGCATCGATGCACAGCCTTGATGCATCGATGCACAGAAGGATGCATCGATGCACTAATTGCATTCGGTGTTTGAGTGCATGGATGCACTAGTGCAGGTGCATGGATGCACTGCATGGTGCATCGATGCACTAGTGCAGGTGCATGGATGCACTGCAGGGATGCATGGATGCACTGCAGGGATGCATGGATGCACTGCAGGGGTGCATGAATGCACTTTGACACCCTTTAGCATTTTGGCTCAAATTCGATTTTAATGGACTTTGAATTATTTTTGAAACCTTTTAAAACTTTGAATAAATTCAATTAAGTCCAATTTTTTTTTTTAAATTCAATTCAAGTCCAAAAACATTTTTCCTTAAATTGTTATATCAAAACATAGTTTAACACATCCACGTACACTAGCACGATAGCTAGCTTACCTTCATTGACTTTGACAAACAAGCTAGAATCTGCATGTGTTACTGAATAACCACTTTTCGTTAGAAATTCAACAATCTTACCATACCACGCCCTAGGTGCTTGTTTCAATCCGTAGAGTGTTTTTTGCAGCTTACACACATATTCAGGATGATCTTGACTCTGAAAACTCATTGGTTGGGTCATGTAGATCTCTCGATCCAGCTCTCCATGAAGAAAAGTATTCTTCATATCCATCTGCCACAAATTCCAGTCTTTGTTGGGTGCAAGTGCAAGTAGGACTCGTATAGTTGTAAGTTTTGCCACTGGACTAAATGTTTCATCATAGTCTAGTCCATACTGTTGAGAAAAACCACGAGCTACCAATCGTGCCTTGTACCTCTCGATTGATCCATCAGGACGACGCTTTATCTTGTAAACCCATTTGCAAGATATGAGTTTCACATATTTTATCTTTGGCACAAGATCCCAAGTTTGATTTTGCTGAAGTGCATCGATCTCTTCTTTCATAGCTGTCATCCAGTTAGAACTCTACGATGCTTCTTCGAACGTCTCAGGCTCTGTTACTTATTCAATTATGGATGCATTGGCATATTTGGGATTTGGCCTTCGTATTCTTGTTGACTTTCGGAGTTGAGATTGTGGAATTGATTCTTCTGTTTCACTAGGCCTACCTTCTTCATTTGGTTGTTGATACACGCCAGTTTGCCAAGGATTCTGAGTCACTCTTTGTTCGACATCATCGCCATTTGGATCTCCTGATTCATCTGAACTTGTTTGGAGTTGAACAACATGCTCCCTTATCTTTTGTTGCAACTTGTCTCCAAATTCTCTTGAATCTGGTAACACCTCATTCTCTGAGGACCACCAAGAAGATGCTTCATCAAATACCACATTTCGTGATGTGTAGCATCTTCCACTCATTGGATCACAATATTTCCACCATTTTCTCTGGCTGTTGTATCCAACAAAGATACATCTAACGACTTTCTTGTCAAACTTGCTCCGTAAATGATCAGGAACAAACACATAACATACACAACCAAATACTCGAAAGTAGCTAACTGTAGGTTTTATGTTCCATAATTTCTCAAAGGGTGAAACAAATCCTAACCTTGGTTGAGGAATTTTGTTGATCACAAAGGCTGCAGTCTTCATTGCTTCAGCCCAAAACCTTCCAGGTACATTCTTTGCATGTAGCATACTTCGACAAATTTTTGTAAGATGTCGGTTTTTTCTTTTCGCTACACCATTCTGTTGTGGCGTGTTATCACAAGTGTACTGATGACATATTCGGTATTCCCTTAGGTATTGAGAGAACTCGTTTTACCTATATTCTCCTTTGTTGTCTGTGTGCAAGCAACATATCTTCTTTCCAACTTCTCCTTCAGCTGAGTCTCTGAACTCTTTAAACTTTGAGAATGTGTCAGATTTTTCTTTCATAAAGAAAACCCACACATACCTAGAGAAGTCATCAATGAATGTTACCATGTACCGCATACCCTAATTGACTGTTGCTTAACCGGTCCAAACACATCAGGGTGAACCAACTCCAACGGTTCTTCTGCTTTAAACTTCGACTCGTCATATGGTAATTGGTGTGCTTTACCATACTGGCATCCCGCACAGACCGTGTCTGTTCTCACGTCTAGTTGAGGAAGCCCTTAAGCATCGACTTCTTCACTATCACACTTAGCTTGGAATAGCTAATGTGACCTAACCACATGTGTCATAGATCTGATCTCATTTTTCCTTGTCCTGTCTACATATGCAGACTGTGCTGACATCACGTAGATTGACTCCAAACGTCGTCCCTCCATTGTTGGTGTTTCTGAGATTTTGACGTCACGATAAACCTTCATGTCTTGGGGACCAAATAAGACATAATGGACTGATGATGTTAATTGAGCCACATATAGAAAATTTTTCTTCATTCCTGGGACATGATAAACATCTTGAAGTTGCACCTGGTTAGAATTATATCGAGGTGTAACTATCGTCTTACTGATGTGAGTTATCGGTAACCTTGAATTGTCAGCTGTCACTACCATACGACCTCCATTGTACTCAGACATGTTTAGCAACTTTTGTTTGTCACCCGTCATATGATTTGAGCAGCCCGAATCTACGATCCAATCATTCTTGTAGTCAATCTTTCTGGTTTTGTTACCGTGAGAGCTAATTCTTCTTCCTCTGTAGCAAATAACGCTTCAGCATCCCAATCATCTTCACTATTCTCCTTTGAACTGGAAGTAGCAGTATTACTTTTAACATGTTTTTTCTTGGTCCAACAGTCTTTTTCCATGTGGCCCATCTTCCCGCAGTTGTAACACTTGCCATCGAACTTTCTACTATTACCGTGATTCTTGGAAGCTCCCCCTGAATGAGGGCCCCTCTTTCCTTGGTAATTTTTCACCTTGTCACCATCATTTTTAGATCCACTGCCAGTATACCGCTGAAAAGTGCCTCTACTTTTGCTGGTGTAGAGCGCTTCCTCTTCACCTTCAGCGAGACTCCTCTTATTTGGTTGGCCATGGTTTCTTGACCTGCAAGCAAATTTTCAAACTCAACAAGCGATGGTTGTGTCGGCTATCCCTGTACAGCAGTAACGAACCCTCAATATTCGGGTCTCAAACCATGGACAATTATTCCTTTTTATCATGGCTTCCCCAATAGCAACTGTCGGATCTAATTCTAAAATTTTGTGGCATATCGACTTCACCTTTTGAAAGTATTGAGCAACCGCCATGTCGCGTTGCGCCATTGATAGAAGTTCATTCTCGAGAAGTTGCAATTTTGTATCGTTCCTCTTCGAAAAGAGTGTAACAAAAGTGTCTCATGCTTCCTTTGGTGTTTTAGCATCCCGGATGTGCTCCAACATTTCTTCTTCAATTGTGGTCTTTAAAGCAAACATTGCTTTGCCTACTTTAATTTTCCACTTTCGTAAGATGCCATTGTCATCTTCTGCCGCCGGTTGTGTAACTTCACCACCACCGACAACCTCCCAAAGGTCTTGAGCTTGTAAGTATGACTCCATACATGTTGCTCACGTGTTGGAGTTTTTGTTGTTAAGCTTCTTGATTCCTCCAACTACTTGAAGATCGCCCATCTTAACGTCAAGACTTTGACTACACCGAACAAGCTTGAGTAACAAACGTGCAGAGTACTAAATTATTCTAAACACAAAGAAGCTCCACAAGGTTTGAAATAACCCCGACAATAATCTCAAGAAATCTTTTCTGATGTGGAAGATCAGTTAAAAACTACAGCCACATAGCATACTTAGAATTTCAAGAGACCTTAAAGACGTAGCTCTGATATCAATTGTTGAATCAAAATAGAGTAAAAACTCTAATTGATCGAGAAGAAGAAAAACTCTCTTTAAAATAATCTCACAAAATTGTAAAAGGGAATAACTCTTAAGAAAGCTTTCAAATGCTTATAATTAAGCTTTGATTGTTGGATAATAAAACTCAAATACAAGTAGGGTATTTATAGGTTACAAGAAACAATCTAAAACACTCATTTAAAATAATCACTAAATAATCTAAACCATTGAAATTAAAATATGAGAAAAATACTTAATTTCACCTAACTAAATTGATGTAAGCAATGACATCAAAACTAAATTGATGTAAGCAATGACATCAAATTAATTTAAGTGTGAACTTATTTAGGCTAATATTGAATTTTCAACATAGGTTTCATGAGAATTACGACTCAGTACTCAGGTTTTATAGTGAAAGCAAACATTTGGAATTCCCTTCAGTTTCCAGTAATCCAGGCCGTCACTTGCAGTATCTTTTTGGCGAATTTCTTTGGCAGATTGTAAAATCCTAGATTTTTAAGGCATTCGAAGCTACCAATGCCGGTGGGAGCCTCCTTCATCAGTGGACTAGGCCCTATTTCAAGTGTCTCCAAGCAAGGTAAAGATCCTCCATCTATTACCACTTTCTCCAACTTGTACAAACGACGAAGTGCGAGGTGTTTTAGGTTTTTGAACTTTCCTTGTTCCAAGTGCAATTCAACTCCATTGTAACCTTCATAAAGCCAGAACTCTAACAGCTTTGGCAAATCTCCAAGAATTTTAAGCGAATCATTTGATATGCTAGACCAGTGTAAACTAATTTTGACTAGGTTCTCCAGTTCAGCAATCCAACCGGGCAGCATCATTAGTTGTCCATGCAGGCGAAGACGATGAAGGGATGGAGGAGGAGACATTGATTCCAGTTCAAGAACCTCGTTTTCTTTCACTGCCGAAATATTCAGTGCATAAAGGTTGGGCATCTGCTTTATAGCACCACACAAAGCTTCCCCGCAATTTGATTTTAGTTTAGTAATTCCCAAATTCCTCAACCGCTTTGACCTTCTCAATTCTCTACCAAAATGCTCACCATTTTGCGATGGGAAATCGAGATAACAAAGCTTTTTTAATGACTCTAAGCTCCCGATAACCCTGCCATTGATCTTTACGCCTTGGTCAGAGTCTATAGTGTAATGATTAAAAAGATCGACTATGTAAGCTACAAAATATTGTAACTTACACATATATCTTATCTCATATGGGATCTCAACCACGAAAGAACCTTTCAAATCCAAAGTCAAGAGGTTATGCAATTTTCCTATGGACTTGGGAAGCATCTTTATTTTTGAATGTCTTAAGCTTAGATATCTCAAATACCACAAATTCCCTATCTCCTCGGGGAGGTACTCGACTGGGGCGTTTTCAAAATCTATTTCTCTCAAAAGTTTGAAGTTTAAGGACAGTCTTTCAAAGACAGGATCATGCAACTCTTGTAAATTGGAAAAGATAATAGAATGAGTTCGAAAGTCACCATTTCTCCTTGACAAATCATGTGCTCTGTTATTGTCGATCCAGAGATATCGAGCAGTACCAATGGAACTTGTTTGTGAGGATTGAATCAAATTTAGTTCTTCTAATTTGGAAATAAGAACTACGTGGATCAAATGAACTCGACATGATCTAGCTCTTCCAGTGGAGTCGCTCCATTCAACTTGAACTAAGCTTCTGTTAATTAGCCTAGTTAAGTTTGTTTTGGCAGTTTCTTCCAATGTCATTTCTTGATTCTCCTTTACAAGACCCTCTTAAATCCACAATCGAATCAGTTTATTATCTCTGTGTGTTCGTTGCCGTTGTTCGTGGTTTTCTTCTCTGTAAGGAATGACCTTTTATAGGCATCGATGATGCCTCCTTTGAACCGGTTATAAGGAGGAACCCCGGTGAGTCACCGAAACTATGGTGGTGACTCACCATAGAGGCGGCTGGAACTTGGGTGAGTTGGTTGGGTGCATTTAATGCACCCAGATCTTATTTGATTTGGCCGGTGGGAGTCCGATGGTGACAACGGCGGTGGCGAGGTGTCACTGAAGGCGGCGACTGTTAGGGTGAAAACCCTATCTGATGGAAGATCCCTCCATCTCTATCTTGATCGGACGACTGAGGAGGTTGGCGGCGCTGGAGAAAATAAGCAGAAACCCTAGGGTTTTCGGGTCTTGGGCTTCTTGGGCCTGGATCGGGTATGTTGGGCCGGATCGGGTCTAGACCGGGTTGTCTGGACCGGGTTGTTTTTTGGGCTTCCAGATCTGGGCCTCCGGGTTTGTTGTAAAACGGGCTTTGGTTGTAATTGTATTTGGGCCTGTAATATTTATTATTTATTTAATAATATAATAATATAATAATAATAATAATAAAATAAAACTGGACAAAAAATTAGTGTCTACAGGATCGATGAGTATCATGATATGAACTGTTATCAGCATCCATGCTTAGCTGCAAATTGTTACTTACTGAGAAGAAAATAACAAGACCTGGAGCTTTTTTAATGTAGGATAGTAAATTATAAACAGCTGCAAGATGTGGTTTTCAAAAAAACTAAACCAATTGACTTAATAAATGGACTACATATGTGATGTCAGGTCTCCTATGGGTTAGATATAATAACCTACCAACCAACCTTCAATATAGTTGAGGATCAGACAATAACTCACCTTCATGAATACTCAATTTATGAGAGGAAACAATTGATAGATCAGCAGGTTTCTTACCATGAGCATCAATGTCTTCGAAAAGTTATAATGCATAATGTCTTTGTGACAAAGTGATCCCAGTAGAATTTTGAGCAGTCTCAAAACCAAGAAAATATTTCAAAGGACCTAGGATTTTTAGCTTAAATGTTGCTGAAGAAAAGTCTGAACCTTTTTTAATAGCTCCAAGTTCTTTCCTGCAAGAACTATGTCATCTCCACAGTTAAGGATCAAACAATAACTCACCTTCATGAAAACTCAATTTATGAGAGGGAAAAATTGATAGATCAACAGGTTTCTTACCAAGAGTATCGGTGTCTTCCGAAAGTTGTAATGTATGATGTCTTTGGACAAAGAGATCCCAGTAGCATTTCGAGCAATCTCAAAACCAAGAAAATATTTCAAAGGATCTGGGATTTTTAGTTTAAAATGTTGCTGAAGAAAAGTCTGAATCTCATTTAATAGCTCCAAGTTCTTTCCTGCAAGAACTATGTCATCTACATAAATACGAAGTGCTACAAAACTATCCCTAGAGCCTTTGGTAAAAAAGAGAATGTTTAGATGGGGATTGTAAGAAATGAAACTTGATAATTACTCGAGAAAATGTATGAAACCACCGCCTAGACGCTTGTTTTAAGCCATAAATAGATTTATTTAACTTGCTCACCATGTTTTTTGAACCATCTGAGCTATATACAAGTGGCAGTTTCATATACACTTCATCATCAAGTTTTCAGTTCAAAAATGTATTGGTAACATCTAATTAAAGAAGATGCCTGTTATTTGCAGCAGCCAAAGCAAGCAGAATTTTAAAAGAATTCATCTTAGAAAGCAGTGAAAAAGTATCAGTGCAATCAACACCTTCAATTTGAGTAAAACCTTTTGCTACTAACCTATCCTTTTACCTGTCTATTGTGCCATCAGCCTTGTACTTTATTCTTACAAACCCACTCACAGTCTATCGGTTGCTTTCCTTCTGATAGAGCAACTACTTTCTAAGTTTGAAGATCATCCATAACTTTTAACTCAAAATGCTTAGCCAACTCTCCACTCTGGATACTTTATTGCCTGCTATACTTAAAGTTTCATTATTATTCTTTGTAAACTTTAGAAAGTTTAATAATAATTCTTCACACTTCTTATCTTTGATATGGTATCAATAGTTTTATTTTTTGCTTCCTCGATTCTTCGATCATAAAAGTTCTTTTCTTTTCTTGTTTCTTTACTTTCTTGGTCTTCATTATGGGTGATCTTGATGATCAATTTGATAATGGTGGCAATCCTTACTATCCCCATCATTCTTATAATCCACTAATTGTTTTGGTTACTCAACCATCAACCAATGATAATTACAACAGCTGGAAATGTTCCATTCTAATGGCGTTGCCTCCTAAAATCAATCTTGGGTTTGTTAATGGTTCAATTAAAGTGTCGGATTCGACTTCACCAGAATTGTATAGTGCTAGGACAAGAGCCAATAACCTTGTGAATTCATGGATCTTAAATTCTGTTTCCAAAGAAATTGCAGCAAGTCTTCTTTATCATTCTACTTCTGTTTCAATATGGAAAGATCTTGAAGACAGATTTTAACAGTCAAACAGGCGTTGCATTTTTCATCTCAAGACTAAACTCGTTGAGTTAGCCCTAGGTTCGATGTCTGTTAGCACTTATTACACAGCTTAAAATCATATGGGATGTGTGGACACCCATTTTTAGTCCGGGTCTACGAAAAATATTATTATTTATTATTATTATTATTATTTTATTAATCATTTTAATTACATTTTTTGTGGAGGCCTAAATCCCAACCCGATTGGAACCCAGCAATTACAGCGGACCCAACCCAGTACCAGGCCCGACTCAGGATCCAGACCCAGTGCTTAACCCAAACTGGACTAATCTTCAACCCATAATAGTTAGGGTTTCAAAACCTTAAAGGTATCAAGCCATCATCACCTCTCACCAGTCGTTGGATCTGAACCCATATCAACGGTTCAAATTAAGACTTATTTAGGGTTTATGAAACCCTAATCCTTAAAGTTGTTACCACCCTCCGTCAAACCTTCCCCGATGCCTGACGCCGCCACCGATAGATCTGCACCAAACAATGACAGAAACACTCATCCATCAATCCATCAACAGTGAAAAGCAGAGAAAAATAATGGAAAAAATCAAAACAAATCAAACCCATTATCCCGAGGTAAATTTATCTCTGCCAGAAGATAATCTCATCGGTAGCATTTATCATCAGAGAGCTATCCATCAGAAAGGGGAACCATCACATGCAAATAAAAACACAGAGAGAGTAAACGAATGGGGGATATTCGGGGAGGGTCAGTTTCGAACAAAGAAATAAATCGGGAAAAGGGGAAACAAAAAAGGAAAACAAAAGAGAGAAGAAAGGAGAGAAAATACAGAGAAGAACAGATGATAGAAAGACAAGGACTTACCTCCAGTTGAACTCTGTGAGCGTCGAGGGTCGCCGGAGTCGAAGAAACCGGAGTCGAAGAAACCAAAGGGTTCTTCGTAGACTTGCGGCGTTTGAGCCCTTTTCAAGGAAAACTAACCTTGGATTCGTGACCAGGCCGATGGGGAGCTTTGAATAGTGCCCTTCTTTTTCTTTTCCGGCGTCGGCGAATGGTGGTGGCCGCCGGTCAGCGGTAGCTGACACGGCGGAGGCTCGCCAGTTTCTAGGAGCCCTTAAGCTCCGATTGAGAGCTCTCTTGAGCGCTCTCTCTCTCTTTCTCTCTCTTTCGCTCAATTGGAAATGAAGCAAATGAGGTAATTGGGACATTTTGGCCGTGGGTTTCAACTTATATATTCCCCACGAAATGACGTAGTTTCGATGGGGACTAGTCTATAATTTTGTGTATGAATTGAGTCCCTGTTCTTGTGTAATTTCATGTTTCAACCATTTAATGAAGTTCTGCTTTATTTTATTTTGAGCCTTAATGTTTCAATACTTTTATTTTAGTCAGGTTCTTACTTTTTTGTTATTTTGTTAGAATTCGACTTTGGTCATTATATTCGTAATTATTTTTATTTTAGTCACTTATTTCATGTATTTTGTATTTTGTTGGATATTTGAATTTGGGTCATGTTATTCGTAAATATTTTATTTTAGTCACTCCTTGGTAGTTGGTTTAACTATTGTTTGATCATTTAGGTTTCTGGTTAATTTTATTTTAGTCATGTATATTATTTATAGGTTATTTACATTTTTGGTGCTTGTATTATTTAACATTTGCGATTTGGGCTCTGGTTTATCTTGTAATTAATGTTTAGCCCTTTTAGTTTCTGTTAATACCATTTTAGTCCCTTAAGTTTTTATTTTTGTTATTTTAGTTCTTTAAATGTCTGTATTTGCTATTTAGACCCTTAAGTTTAGGTTACTGTTTTAACCCTTTAAGTTTATGTTTTACCACTTTAGTCCTTTAACTTTCTGTTTTAGCTATTTTAGTCCTTTAAGTTTTTATTTTTGCTATTTTGGTCTTTTAACTTTTTATTTTAGTTATTTTAGTCCTTTAAGTTTCTTTATTTACTGTTCAGTCCTTTAAATTTTTGTTAATCGTATATTAGTACCTTAAATGCTTATTTTTGGTATTTTATTTTGGTTTGTAATGTTTACTTATTTTTATTTTAGTCATTTATGTATGAATGTATTTTACATATTATGTGGTTATCTGTATTATGTAAATAATGTTTTTAGTTCCATTTAATGTAAACATTTTATTTTTGTATTTTTAATTACATTTATTTCCATTGCATTATATCCATGGATGAAATATTCGAATTTTATTTTCAAGAACACGTATGCGTAAAATGAGCGTAGAAAATACCACTTGGTCGAATTGGTGTGATCCGATACGGCATTTTAATGACATAGGGACTTGAAATAAGTCGAGTATATTTTACTAATTAATTTGTTCAAATGATGCAATATGTGTTATTTTAAGTAACAATTTACTTTATTTTATGTGAATGTAAACTTCAAATTTCTTTAATTTGTATTCGATTCACGTTTTTAGTTAATC